TTGTACCCCCAGTCAATCACACGTAAAAAAACCCGATATGCCACCTCCCGCTTCCAAGCGTCAAAGAAGCTCCACCCGAGAGCAAAAAGAAAAAAAGAAAAGACTAATTTTCAACACTGGAGAGGAGGTGTGCCATATTTCTCCAGCCCAGGCCGAGAGAGCCCGAGATTATGGAAACAGGTTAAAGGACCTGAAATACTTGCTCTCCATCAAGCAGTTTGCGGACCTGGATATAGAGGTTCCGCAAAACTTCCCTAATGCTCAGAGAGTCCTGATAGTAATATGATCAGAACCTGCTGCTAAACAGATTTGGGCCATGGTTGACGAAGCCATCAATGCTTATAAGATGGCTTTACCCATTGCTATAACTGAAAATGATCATTTGAAAAATTTAAAACAGTTCTGTGCAGGGAGGGTCCCCGTTTTAGTTCACCCCTCCCTATATAGAGCACTTAAATTGACCTTCCCCTGGGATATCGGCGGTATCTCCCAAGACAGCACCATCAAGACTGAGATGGGCCATGGGTCTATGGGAGAGGCGGTCGGTATCCTTACCCCGTCCATGTTCAAACCAGTAGTTCAACCCTAATCAGGCTTCACTATGGCTCTCTGGTTAGCTAGTGTAAATGTCCGGGGCCTGAGGTCCGAGTCTCGCAGGGCGAGGTTCTCTCGTGACCTTCAGCGCCTCGGGGTGGATGTGTGTTGTGTGCAAGAGACCCGGTTTTCTTCTCATGACTGTGAGAACATTCTGTCTAGGGCGTTCGCCCTTTATTCAGCATGTTTTGATGGTCGTTCGAGGGGTGTCTCTTGCCTAGTGAGTAGGTCTTTGAAGGCTGCATGTACCCTTGTCTTCGCGGATCCGGCCGTGAAATCCCGTGTTAGTGGGGACATAGTCGTAGCTAAGGCAGAGTTGTCCTCCTTGCTTATCAAGAAGGATCAAGCTCAGGTAGTTAGGACTAGGCTAAAAAGAATGTCTTCTGAGGCGACGAACATGGCCGCTGAACTGCGTGCAGAGGAGAATAGGAACGCGTCTAAGCGACATATAGCGGGCGTCACATTGCCGGATAAGCGGACCGTGACTACAAACGCGGGCATATGCTCAGTTCGACGCCTATTTAGCTGACTTTCCCTGCCTTGAGGCAGCTGAAGCGGCTAGGTGCGAGGGTCCCATAACAGAGTCCCATAACAGAGTCGGAAATCTGGGAAGCGCTGAAGCAGGTTGGCCTGGATAAGTCTCCGGGATTAGATGGTCTTCCCTACGAAGTTTACTTGAGGTTGTCGCACGTTTTTGTTCCTTTGCTGCAGCTGATTTTCAACCACTGGATGAAGCAGGGGTCTTTACCTCAACGCTTCACCAGGGGTGTGATCAAGTTGCTGCGTAAGGACAAGAACGGTGGGGATGTGTTAGGGAACTTTCGCCCTTTAACGATGTTAAATACGGACTTAAAGATTTTGGCGAAGATCTTAGCCAACCGTCTGAAGCTTGTCCTGTCTCGTCTGATTGGCCCCGAACAGACTTGTGCTGTGAAGGGCAGGACTATTCAGGATAACCTTCACATGGTACGCTTGATCTTAGAACAAGTCGACAGTGAAGCCGCGCTGATCAATTTGGATCAGTCCAAAGCCTTCGATAGAGTTGACCATCGATTTCTGGAGGCTGTCCTTTCGGCGGCCGGTTTCGGAGCCGACTTTCGCTCCTGGATCCGACTCTTGTATGCGACCCCCGGTGCGCTGGTGGAAGTGAATGGGGTAAGATCGAAGCCTTTCGTATTGTCTCGTTCCATTCGTCAAGGTTGTCTGCTCTCGCCTATGCTTTACGTTCTTGCGTTAGAACCTTTCCTTCGCAAGTTAAAGGCGAATCCGGTCCTACGCGGAATTTCGCTGCCTGGTGCTTCCACCTCGGCCAGGTATTCAGCCTATGCTGACGACGTTTCGGTTCTTGTGTCGAGCAGAGCCGAGATTAACGAAGTCAGCAAGGAGATCAGTGGGTATGAGATGGTGACAGGGGCCAAGATCAACCGCGATAAGTCTGTTGGCTTGCGGTTGGGTGCGTGGAAGGGAGTTTCTCTTCCCGGACCTTTCCTCTGGACGGATGGGCCGATCAAGATTCTCGGCGTCTGGTTCGGTCCTGATCTCCAGTTGGAAATGAATTGGTCGGAGGTACAAGGGAAGGCCGAGGTCGCGGTTAATCTGTGGTCTCAGAGGAGACTTTCCCTGAAGGGAAGGGCGGAAGTATGTGTTTCACACATATATCCAATTCTCCTGTACCGACTCTCTGTGCTTCCACTCCCGTATGCCCGACTAATGTCATTAGTCAAGGCCTTGTTCTCTTTCTTGTGGAGAGGCAAGGCCCATATGGTATGTCGCGAGATCTGTTGCCTTCATCCCTCGGAGGGCGGTCTGGGTATACCTAGCATTGAGATTCGTCAATATATGCTTCGCATCACCTTTCTAGACCGAATGTGTCGCGGGTCGGATGAGGAGGGTGCCTTTTGGAAAGAAGACGTCCAGAAACATTTCCCGTCCCTGAGAAGTGTGCACTCGTGCGAAGAAGAGGCCGCCCGTACACCACGTGCCGAGTGCTCCTTCTATCGTGAATGTCGTCGCGCTCTGAAGCTCCTCTTGCGGGCTACGGATGGCCTCTCCAACGCCCAGGTGTTGTATCAAGTATTAGTTAGGGGGGCCGCACAAGATGATCTAATTGGCGAGCTCGGTCTTACGAAGCAGGAGGCTCGCTCGATATGGCCTTGGGCGCCTGGGTTGAAATGCCTCAATAACGATGAGGCATCACTCACCTGGCTGGTGATTCGTGAAGCCCTCTGGGTCGGCAAGAGACTCTGTTCAGCAGGCTTGGAGAAATATCCAAACTGTCGTCGCTGTACTGGGGAAGTCGAGACCATTGGTCACGCCTTTTTTCGGTGCAAGGCGGTAGTGCCGTTGTGCAAGTTTGTTGAAGGCCTCATGGTTCGCATGTTGCAGAGAAAGTTTTTTGTCCTTGAAGCTAGCTCTGTTTGTAGCAATGTGGTACCGCAATTGACGAAGGCTGAACACTATGTTTTCTGTTGATTACTAGGGGTTATGAGAGTCGTGATTTGGATGACGCGTCAGAAGGGATTCCATGAGGGCGAGAAGTTCACCTCTTCCCAACTGATCTTGTACTTTAAGCATCAGCTTAAAGTCAAGACTAGGACGGAAAGGCGGCGTCTCACCTCATCAGAATTCAGCAAAAGGTGGGTGAATCTTGCGCGTTTGTGCCGTGTAAAAGGGGCTGACTTGGAGTGGCATTTTGATGTCGGTTAGGCATCAGGATATTGTTTTCCTGAGTTGAACATGGGCAACCCATCCCGAAATTAGGTTAGAGTAGGATTTTGTATTTTTTCCTGTTCTGATAAACTTAGCTAGGGTGTGTTTGCTCATTGGTCCCCTTTTATTTCTGTCCCCACTTTTTTTCCTTTAGTTTAGTTTTTCCTTTCCCCGTCCCCTCCCTCGTTTAGGTGGTCAGTGATGTCAGTTCTCTGGTGGATGCGGGGCGCCTTTCGTTTCGTGCGTGTGCTTTCGTATTTGTTGTTGTGTATGGATGAGTGAGTGCTTGTGTGAGTGCTTGACGGTTTGAATGTGTCCTTATTTTCATAGTCCCGCATCGATTTCGTCCGGTTAACTGATATTTCTGCCACATTCAAAGTTTGTGGGGGGTTTTAATACTAACACTAATTTTGTTTAGTTTCTTGTAAATATATTTCGACATATTGTATATACTCATTGGGGATTTTTTAAAAAATTGTTGTTTTTATGCCCCCCTCCCCCACAGACAATATTTGTACATAAGGGGTGTATTTAGGATTTTCATTGAGTCAAAGAGGCATTTTGGTGGATGTAGTAAGGAAGGTATGGATAAATGTGTTGTTTTGGTGATAGGAATATTAAACTTTAGTATGATAGGGTCAGTGGTTGTGGCTAGCTAAGTTTTATTTTAAGACAAGTGATGACCGTCCTTTCCCCCAGCCCCCTTTTCGGCCTTGTGCCACATTTGTACATAGTACAATAAATAATGAGAATTTACGACGACCAAATTTGCTAAACGACTTCACGACGCTTGAATCATTACTGCAGCGAAGTACAAAGTTGGAACCTAAAGTTCTTTAACATGAAATAACTTCACTGAAAATCAAACTACAATTTCAACGAAACGTCTCACTCACCAACTTGTAAAATTTTATAAATCTTTATTACGTTATTGAATCAGACGAAACTTTAAGTACAAACAATTACGAACAATAAAACTACGAGCAATGAAAACAAACGGAACATTCACTTCTCCAACTTCTTTAAAGCTAAAAGTTTATTAACATATTTTCAGCTTTATAAAATTCTCTTTCAGTGAACATTTTGAACTACAAGTTAATTCAGTTTTTGTGAGCTCGGATAAAAAAGTGTTTTTTTATTAGTAAAAACATTAGCCCAGTCAAAGGGAAGTAACTCTTATTATTGTTATTGTAAAACTGTTATCATTTATAACTAAAAATATTGTTCCTGTTAAGAAAAGTTATTTTCTTGTATTTTTCTCTTGTTTGCTTTTTATTTTCTTGCACATTCGTAAAGTAAAAAATGTGTGGGTTGATTTATTCCGTCAATACCACTACAATATCGTCGCGTAAATAAGACAGTAGTAAAGTTCACCAAGGCGTCTCTGGAGTTTGTGAAGGCTGCGAGTGTCTCGTTGGTCAGTCTTATTATCGCAGTGTTGTTGGTTGTGGGAATACACTGGTCGCTTTGACTTTCTCTGGGACTGGTGTAATTCCTGTGTGGTCGATAACAAAACCCAGGAAATTACGTTTAAGCACTGTAAATAAACATTTTTCAGAGTTTATTTTTAGTCCATAATGGTGCAAGCGTTCAAAAACTTGTTTTACGTGGCGCTTGTGATCGTCCATGTCGGCGCTAGCAATTAGTAAGTCGTCAATATACGCGAACGAGTTAGGCAAGCCACGAAGTGCTTCATCTTAATCTGAAAGGATTGCGCGGCGTTTCGCAAACCGAAGGGCATTCGTAGAAACTCGTATAGGCCGAAAGGAGTTGTGATTGCCGTTTTGCGAATATCTTCTTCGGCGACGGGGATTTGATAAAAATGTTTTGCGTAGGTCTATTTTGGTAAAGACTCTAGCTCCCTGTAAAGAAATTGCAAAGTCTGCCAAATTAGGTACAGGGTACTTGTCAGGGACTGTCTGTGCGTTCAACCTACGGTAATCACCGCAGGGTCTCCAAGCTCCCTCCTGTGCCTTAGGGACCATGTGGAGTGGAGACGCAAAAGGGCTTGACGACGGGCGTATAATTCCTAGGTCCAGCATTTGTTGGAATTCTTCGCGCGCTAATTTGTATTGGTCTGGAGCTAGCCTGCGCGGCTTTGAAAACACTGGCGGTCCTGACGTGTGAATCTTGTGGACAGTGTGGTATTTGACTGTCTCTGTATAAGTAAATGGGCGGATAAGTGATGGAAATTGATCTAAGATGTCTTGGAGTGGATTATCCGCTGGAACAGCGACAAGATAGCTTTCAACCAATGAGGGTGGAAATAACACCATAATTTTTAAGCTTCGTCGTATTATCATACAATAGACGTTTCGACAAGTCAGCTATTTGTAGTTTGTTAGAAAATCGGCACGGAGAATTGGGAATTTTACGTCCGCTACAGTAAAGAGCCACTGGAAGTTCCTTCGCAGGCCTATATTCAGGGTCATAGATAATTATCCGAAGGTTTGGATGTGTGTGCCATTAGCGGCACGTAAGGTAACCGGAGATTTAGTTTTCGAGAAGTTGGATTTGGGTGGGATAACACTGATTTGGGCACACGTATCAACGATGAATGATTCATTTGAGTTCTTGTCTTTAATGCAGAACTGACCCCCAACAGCAGACGCCGCCTTCAATCGCTGCTGGGACTGGCGTTTCCCGCCTTCTGGCCTGTTGTAAAAATCTGTTTGTGGTTTGAAATTACACGGCTTAGTACATTTTTTTTGCTGAGTTGCCAAATTTGTGGTGGTACCAGCATATTGTAGCCTTCCTTTGACGAGAGGTGGAGTGAGAACGACGTCGGGACTTGTATAAGTTGTGAGCTGGTTATCTGCGTAGGCGCTCCATTTGCGTAGACTTGTTGATCTGCAGTTGCAACTTATAAATCATGTCCTCCATCGTTATATCGTGTGATGTTTGAGCATCGACACTGTTGATTATCGTGACATCATTTATTTTATCCGTTATTTCAGCAATCTTGATCAAATCTAAATCGTTGGGAAGTGTAGCTAGGATTTGTGTGGTTTGGGCTGGTAATTCATCGAGCCAAAGTTTGCGGAACAATGAATCAGACATTGTATGTTTTCCAAGAAGGTTTCTCATTTTTCGTAATAATTGTGTAGGTTTGTTGTCACCTAGCTATAGTGTATTAAATAAGTCGTTCAGACGACGCTCTTGCGATTTGCCAGTTCGATATATTATATAGCTTTTTTTAGTGTATCAAAAGGATCGGGTGTTGGTACGGTGTCTTGTGGAATAATCCACGTTACCTTTTCACCCCTTTGCAGAACAATCCATTCTTACAATCCAATCATTCTTATCCAATCAAAACACTAGTTCTGACAAACTCAATTTCTCATTGGCTAACAGCCTTAAAAAACTATGCAGGTGAAAATGCCTTTGACGCTCAAATGTGTTTGAGCCTATTTTTCCTTTCCAGAACATATAAAAGAAAGAAATTCGAACCAACTTACCAGTCAGAATTCCACACTCAGAGAGATGCCAACCAATTCCACGCCAGTTTAAACTTTGACTTTCCCGCGCGAATTAACCTCTGATTCAACAACCTTTTCGCGTACTCAATCTCTCTTTTAAACAAACTTCTTAAAAATTCATTTACTTTACTTGAGAAAGTGAAATATATATTCACTTCATATTAGTAACAGTAACAAACAAAACTTTTAACAATTAACAGTTCAAGGTACGCAACTTCGTACAACTTAAGAATATTTAACATAACACACTAACATTTGAACTGTAAAATCGAACACTATTTTGTACGTTGAACAGCAAACTGTTTAATTCTTACAACAAATCATCAAAACACTGATTTAAGCATTCAAACATACTCAACAACAAACTTCATGTCTTATTACATCAATATACAACAAACCACCAATTCATAACTCATTTGTATATATTTAAATTGTATATAAATTACCGTATTGTTGTGTATTTTACTTGTTTTTGTTTTTAACTCTGCTTTGCATGACCTGTTCAAAATATTCGTTTATTATTTGTTGTGGATGAATGTTAACGAACACCTAAAAATTCCTTCTGATTTAACCAAATACATTCACTAATTCCCAACAGTCTAAAAGATCCAGTACGTCCGAAGCGATTTCGGGCGGTAGTTTCTCTACGACATATGCGTAGCGTGCCATCTGTGAATGGGTTCTTGGAAAATTGCTTCCAGCTGTGCGAACCACACATGTACGTTGGTAGCGTCAAATACCGGCAAGTTTAGGACGGCGGCTGTTTCGTTAACAGGTTGTTCAGCCATGTTGAACAGAACTATTTTTAAAAACGTACGTGGTTTAAGAAAATTTTTCTCGCGCCAAGTCGAAAATTTTTGTACGTGTTGCTGACACAAATTGGGTCTGACACGTTCTCTTGAATCTTTTCTTCCTTGGATGTAGGCAATAATTCAAACGTCGGTGGTGTCCAATTGTTGTGGCTGCCCTTTTTCTTTTAAAACGTCGGGGTCATCAATTGTGGCGTGCTAATGAGATTTGGTATTGTGGTGAAAATAGATGAACTTGTAGCAGACCCGGTAGCATGCAGCACTGGCCTACGAAAAGGTAGCCTTGTGCCAGACACTACTCACGACTACCGAATTCACTAGCAAAGTAAAAAAAAAAGAATAAGTGAAAATAATAAATGTGTGATCTTTTAACCGTAGAATTATTACAGTCTCCTTAGTGAGGAAAAAGGGTCATTCAACACATGCATAAAAAGGTAAAAAAAAAGGTAGTCAGGAGGAACGACGAAAACGTGTCTGGTGGAAAACAAATATAAAACTTTATTTAATAAAAAGTATTTTGTCTCAAACAGTGGAGACTACCAGAAAAGTAAAGCTAGTTCTTAGCAAGTAGGCAAGTTGTATAAGGTAGTGACAAGTAGTCAGTAAAAGAATGTTAAGGTTCCACGCCAAGACGAAAATCAAAATGGCTAAGGCGGGAAAGGTTCCCCCAGAAGGAAAATTCTGGAACAGAGTCTTCTTATGCAAAAGGTACATGCCTACACAACAAGGAAAATACTCACTGCGAGATTTTTGTCATGTTTGTGTAATGTTATTTTTTTTTCTTTCTTTTTAAACTGGTTCGTAAGGTTAGAGTTCAACAGGTGTATGTGAAGTTTATCAATCATCCGTGTCGAAAAACTCTACGTTCCCTGGTAGTGAACGGACGAAAGTTCGAACAAGTTGTTCGCGTCAGGACGAGGAATTAGTCATTGTAAAAGTGTGATGGCGACGGTGTCGTAAACTCTACGTTCTCCGGTAGAAAATGGAGGAAAGTTCAAACAAGTCGTTCGCAGAAAGTTACAACCACATGAAGAGATTCGGCATGATGAGCCAAGGAGTTTACTAGGAAGTTTTTTGTAGATATTTCGGCCCGCGTATGGGTAAGGGGCGCGAAATAAATGAGTCGGCGTTTTTGGTCGGAGACCAGGCAGCGACTGATTTGAAAAACCCCGTTCGTCAGTGACGTCAGAGAATGCGGGGGAAAAACTTCAAATTCTGTTCTAGCTGGAATCAGCAGCAGCCAGTAACTTCCTCACGTCGGCAGCAGATGGCTGCTTACTACTATATCTAGCCGAAAGGAAAGGAAGGGGTGCAATACGCGCGCGCACGTAAAAGTAGGTGGAATCCCTGCGCGGTTCCACAAACTCTTTAATCTTTCTCTGACTTTCCAGGACTGAATGATTTCCCTTTGTTTTGTCTTCCTCTCTCCATGAGGTTGTCGGCCATTTTCCTGTAACGGTTCGCTACCGGAATAGATTTCTAGTAGAATAAAGCTTCACTCAAGCTATACGAACTCAGTCTTTCTTTCACTTCCACTCAATCTATTATCATAACAATTTATTCTACTAGAAATCTACCAAGATGGAAAATATCTCAAGCGAGAACGCCTAGATCTAGACCCGAATAAACCTGACTCAGCCGACACATGGCGACACTGGAAAAGATCCTTCCATATCTTTCTCGAAGCGGCCGGTGAATCACAACAACAGACTCCACTGAGAGACAGGCTGAAACTGAATTTACTTATCAACCTTGTCTCTCTCCACTATCTTTAAACACATCTCCGACGTGGACGATTACGATTCAGCCATGGACGTTCTGGAAGGAGTGTTTGTGCAGCCTAGAAATACCATCTTCTGTAAACATCTGCTGGCTACTCGTTGTCAACAAACTGACGAGAGTGTAGACCAGTATTTGCAAGCTTTAAAGAAACTCGACAAGGATTACGAGTTCCAGGCTGTTACAGCTATACATACTGGAGAGAGACGAATACACACGAGACGCGTTTATAAACGGAATTTCGTCTAATCACATTAGAAAACGACTCCTGGAGAACAAAACACTAGATCTAGGCACTGCTTATGACCAGGCGCTAACACTTGAGATGGCACAGAAACAATTAGCATCCTACTCTCAACAGAACTCACTAAACGCTTCTGTCTCTACTGCTCAAACTGAGGTAACTGACGGTGAAGATCAGCCTGGGTGCTATGTGGCCGCCATCCCTGGACAAAAATGCTTCTTCTGTGGGAATCAGAAACATGACAGATTAGATACCCTGCCCCTTTTTATGGCTAGCAGTTCCCATTCATCCTCTACTCTTGGACATTGTATAGTATCCCTCAATCTAAGCGGTAGAGAGTACAGTAATGTCAAGTTGTCTGTTATGGCTAATTTATGCTGTGATGTCATTCTTGGGCATAATTTTCTACGTCAGCATTCTTCAGTAAAAATACCTTTCGGGGGACTGCTTCCACCTCTCACTGTTTGTGGACTAACTGCAATTAATAATGTCCCTTACCCCTCTCTGTTTGCGAAATCTAACTTCTGACTGTCATCTAATAGCAGTAAAATCCAGGAGACATAGCCTACCTGACGCTAAATTCATTCGTTCAGAAATATCGTGGATGCTGAAGGAAGGAATTATAGAGCCATCTCAATCGCCATGGCGAGCCCAAACTCTGGTAGTGTCTCCTGAAAATCACAAAAAGAGACTCGTCGTGGATTATTCCCAGACGATAAATCGGTTCACTCTTCTGGATGCTTATCCACTTCCTTGGATAGAGGACATGGTAAATGAGATTGCCTGTTATCAGGTATTTAGCACACTTGATCTAACTAGTGCCTATCACCAGGTTGCCATCAAGCCAGAAGAACGAAAATATACTGCCTTCGAAGCTGTTGGGTCTCTGTACCAATTTTGTCGTATCCCTTTCGGAGTGACCAATGGAGTAGCAAGTTTCCAGCGAGTCATCGATGACATTATCA